CCCTAACAACAAGTAGTAATGCTATTCCTTTACCCTGCTTGGTCATAGCACGGTAGTGGGAGCTGCCAGTTTCACATGTTTTAACTCTGTCAGAGCACTTTGAAAAAGTGGTCTGTGGTATCTGGCTCTCGAGATTCGGAGAACGATGCCTTTTCGATTTTTGAGAAAGCAATCATGCTGGGGGTCTGGCTCTCGAGATTCGTAGAGCAGTGTCTCTTCGATTTTTGAGGAAAGTAATCATGTTGGGAGTCTGGCTCTCGAGATTCGGAGGGCGGTGCCTCTTCGATTTTGGAGCAAGCAATCCTGTTGGGAGTGTTGTCTCGAATGTGAGTAAAGGTTGGGCATGTTTGCTAGTCTACCTTGCCACGAAGCACAAAGGTTGACACACAGAGACTTTCCAATTATCCAGCAATGGTACTGTTCCTTTACCCTCTCTTCGCTTTTGAGAAAGTAGTCATGTTGGGAGTCTGGCTCTCGAGATTCGGAGGACGGTGCCTCTTCGATTTTGGAGCAAGCAATCTTGTTGGGAGTGTTTTCTCGAAAGTGAGTAAAGGTTGGGCATGTTTGCTAGTCTACCTTGCCACGAAGCACAGAGGTTGACACACAGGGACTTTCCAATTATCCAGCAGTGGTACTGTTCCTTTACCCTTGTGGGTAATAATATGGTAGCTAGACCTTCAAAATTTATGTGTCTAAACTTTGTTAGTGCTGTTTCTTTGCTATTCTTTTACCTTTCTTGGTCAGAGCGATGTAGTGGGAGCTGCAAGCTTCACGTGCTCAACTTTGGCAGAGAACTTTGGCAAAGTTATCTGTGGTACCCATGAGCTATTGTTGCGTGTGGGAAGTGGGTGATTGAACAGTAAGATTCATGTGCTTTCTACTTCACCAGAAGTCTTCGACAGAATGCCCATAATTTCTGCAAAGCTGAGTGTGCGTGTGACAGGTGCTGACAAGGCTAGAAAAGTAGGTGCCTCTTCGATTTCTGAGATCGGCCCTCGTGGTCTCTGAGCAGCCCAGCTTTTGAGAAAGCGAGCGCCTCTTCGATTGATTCGGAGAACGATGCCTCATCGATTTTTGAGAAAGCAATCATGCTGGGGGTCTGGCTCTCGAGGATTCGGGGAGCAGTGTCTCTTCGATTTTTGAGAAAGTAATCACGTTGGGAGTCTGGCTCTCGAGATTCGGAGGGCGGTGCCTCTTCGATTTTGGAGCAAGCAATCTTGTTGGAAGTGTTTTCTCTCGAATGTGAGTAAAGGTTGGGCATGTTTGCTAGTCTACCTTGCCACGAAGCACAGAGGTTGACACACAGGGACTTTCCAATTATCCAGCAATGGTACTGTTCCTTTACCCTCTCTTCGATTTTTAAGAAAGTAGTCATGTTGGGAGTCTGGCTCTCGAGATTCGGAGGACGGTGCCTCTTCGATTTTGGAGCAAGCAATCTTATTGGGAGTGTTTTCTCGAATGTGAGTAAAGGTTGGGCATGTTTGCTAGTCTACCTTGCCACGAAGCACAGAGGTTGACACACAGGGACTTTCCAATTATCCAGCAATAGTACTGTTCCTTTACCCTTGTGGGTAATAATATGGTAGCTAGACCTTCAAAATTTATGGGTCTAAACTTTGTTAGTGCTGTTTCTTTGCTATTCTTTTACCCTTCTTGGTCAGAGCGATGTAGTGGGAGCTGCAAGCTTCACGTGCTCAACTTTGGCAGAGAACTTTGGCAAAGTTATCTGTGGTACCCATGAGCTATTGTTGCGTGTGGGAAGTGGGTGATTGAACAGTAAGATTCATGTGTTTTCTACTTCCCCAGAAGTCTTCGACAGAATGCCCATAATTTCTCCAAAGCTGAGTGTGCGTGTGACGGGTGCTGACAAGGCTGGAAAAGTAGGTGCCTCTTCGATTTCTGAGATCGGCCCTCGTGGTCTCTGGGGAGCCCAGCTTTTGAGAAAGCGAGCGCCTCTTCGATTTCTGAGATCGGCCTTCGTGGTCTTTGAGAAGCCCAACTTTTGAGAAAGCAAACGCCTCTTCGATTTCTGAGATCAACCCTCGTGATCTCTAAGCAGCCCAGCTTTTGAGAAAGCAAACGCCTCTTCGATTTCTGAGCAGGCGCCTCTTCGATTTCCGAAGCTCCGTCGAGTGCAGATTTTTATAGAGGCTGACATTAAGTTCCAAAGCACACTTGAATCTCCACCAGTAGAAGCTTCATTCTTCTTGCACTTCTAAGATCTTGATTTGTCCGACCTCTTCTCTCTTCAACACCTTTGAAAATGTCTGGCCCCTCCGACCGTCGTTTTGACTTGAACCTTGTTGAAGAGGCAGCCCCGCCTTCTCCAGACAACATCTGGCGCCCATCCTTCGTCTCCCCTACTGGTCCTCTTACCGTTGGGGATTCCGTGATGAAGAATGATATGACCGCTGCGGTGGTGGCCAGGAACCTTCTCACTCCCAAAGATAACAGACTACTTTCCAAACGGTCTGATGAGTTAGCTGTTAAGGATTCGTTGGCTCTCAGTGTTCAGTGTGCAGGTTCTGTGTCTAATATGGCCCAACGCCTATTTGCTCGAACCCGCCGCCAAGTTGAATCCTTGGCGGCTGAAGTGATGAGTCTCAAACAGGAGATTAGAGGGCTCAAGCATGAGAATAAACAGTTGCACCGGCTCGCACATGACTATGCTACAAACATGAAGAGGAAGCTTGACCAGATGAAGGAAACTGATGGTCAGGTTTTACTTGATCATCAGAGATTTGTGGGTTTGTTCCAAAAGGCATTTATTGCCTTCGTCTTCTGGGGCTGTACCGCGTAATGAAGCTCCGAATGATCAACCTCTGATGCCTCCTCCTTCTAGGGTTCTGTCCAGTACTGAGGCTCCAAATGATCCCCCTCCGGTGCCTTCTCTTTCTGGGGCTCTACCGACTGCTGAGACTTCTCCTAAGCAACCTTTGTGAAGGCTCCGTCTTGTGTGTTTATTTTGACTCATGTATATGTACATATTTGTAGCTGATCGGGGATATCAATAAATAAGCTTTCCTTCATTTCAACGTATTGTGTTAAATACACCAAAGCCTTCTTCGCTAAGTTCTTTGAATTTTCTTTTGTTGAAGCTTGTATGTTGAAGCTTTCTGAGTGGAGCATGTAGGTTGGGGTAGTGTTCCCTTAATTTCCCGAGTGAGGAAAACTTCTCGATTGGAGACTTGGAAAATCCAAGTCACTGAGTGGGATCGGCTATATGAATCTTAGAACGCCATTGTGCTCGATCCTGTGTCATGTCCTCCGTTAGATCCAAGTACTCTAAGTCTTTTCTTAGAGTCTCTTCCAAAGTTTTCCTAGGTCTTCCTCTACCCCTTCGGCCCTGAACCTCTGTCCCATAGTCGCATCTTCTAATCGGAGCGTCAGTAGGCCTTCTTTGCACATGTCCAAACCACCGTAACCGATTTTCTCTCATCTTTCCTTCAATTTCGGCTACTCCTACTTTACCCCGGATATCCTCATTCCTAATCTTATCCTTTCTCGTGTGCCCACACATCCAACGAAGCATCCTCATCTCCGCTACACCCATTTTGTGTACGTGTTGATGTTTCACCGCCCAACATTCTGTGCCATACAGCATCGCCGGCCTTATTGCCGTCCTATAAAATTTTCCCTTGAGCTTCAATGGCATACGGCGGTCACACAACACACCGGATGCACTCTTCCACTTCATCCATCCAGCTTGTATTCTATGGTTGAGATCTCCATCTAATTCTCCGTTCTTTTGCAAGATAGATCCTAGGTAACGAAAACGGTCGCTTTTTGGTATTTCTTGATCTCCGATCCTCACCCCTAACTCGTTTTGGCCTCCATTTGCACTGAACTTGCACTCCATATATTCTGTCTTTGATCGGCTTAGGCGAAGACCTTTAGATTCCAACACTTCTCTCCAAAGGTTAAGCTTTGCATTTACCCCTTCCTGAGTTTCATCTATCAACACTATATCGTCTGCGAAAAGCATACACCAAGGAATATCATCTTGAATATGTCCTGTTAACTCATCCATTACCAACGCAAAAAGGTAAGGACTTAAGGATGAGCCTTGATGTAATCCTACAGTTATGGGGAAGCTTTCGGTTTGTCCTTCATGAGTTCTTACGGCAGTCTTTGCTCCTTCATACATATCCTTTATAGCTTGGATATATGCTACTCGTACTCCTTTCTTCTCTAAAATCCTCCAAAGAATGTCTCTTGGGACCCTATCATACGCTTTTTCCAAATCTATAAAGACCATGTGTAAATCCTTTTTCCCATCTCTATATCTTTCCATCAATCTTCGTAAGAGATAGATTGCCTCCATGGTTGAGCGCCCTGGCATGAACCCGAATTGGTTGTCCGAAACCCGTGTCTCTTGCCTCAATCTATGCTCAATGACTCTCTCCCAGAGCTTCATTGTATGACTCATTAGCTTAATACCCCTATAGTTCATGCAATTTTGTACGTCGCCCTTGTTCTTGTAGATAGGCACCAAAGTGCTCGTTCGCCACTCATTTGGCATCTTCTTCGTTTTCAAAATCCTATTGAAAAAGAGATCATATGCCATTGCAAAATCCAAGATAGCTTCCCCATCCTCGTTTCTCTCCCCAAAACCATGGCCACCATGAAAACCTCCATAGTTGCCTGTCTCCCTGCCCACGTGTCCATTTAAATCTCCTCCTATAAATAACTTCTCCGTCTGAGCAATTCCTTGCACCAAGTCTCCAAGATCTTCCCAAAATTTCTCCTTCGAACTCGTATCCAACCCTACTTGAGGTGCGTACCAGCAAGCAACCAAAGGAATGAAATAAAAACACAGAAGGCTGAAACAAAATGGAAAATTTATATATTTTTTGGTCGGAACTGCTCAAACTTTAGTCAGTTGGCAATATTGGAATAGTTAATTAATCTTTTTTTGCATAATTTGTTATATATGAAAAAAATAATCAAATAAAGAATTAAAAGATGAAAAAAATATAATCAAATAAAGAATTACAAGATGAAAAATAATCAAAACCAACAAGTTGAGTGGTCTTTATTGGGAGAGAAAATAATGAATTTCAGCACTGAATTACAAGAGTTTAGCACTAATTTCACCGTATGGTTAACTATTTTTCTATATAGTGTCATTTTTTTTTAAAAACTAAAAATGTATTTATTAACTAATTTTCCAAAAACAAAAAAAGAATTTTGTTGAAGGGAATAACAAGTGTTTGTGAGAAAGAAAGCAGGCTGAGTTGTGATCATCAGTTGGAGCTGGTTACGGCGCCCTTTCCATGTGGTGATCTCATTTCACGGACTTTCCTCTCCCTAGACAGAATTCCAGCAATCCTGCAGCACATATAGATTGATTAATAATTAAGAAAACAAATAGTAGTCAGCAATGTTTAATCAATATTATGAACATATGATCATGCTAAAATACGTATATAGTGGAGATATTTGGTGAATGATGATTAAATTATATCTACCTTACGAGAGCCTCTTCATTTGTAGATTGATGGGCTGGTTCAAATACACCGGTATCCAAATTCACCCTAGAAACAGGCTTTTTCAGCAATTTCTCTCCGACTTTTATAAGATTATTCAAGTTTTCCTCCGTAGCAATGTCCACTGAAGACACTGTCTTCTCCAATGTATCATCCTACAAACATAAATTTTCCTCACATAAATATGTTTCGACATATAATTGATGTTGCTTGAATTTATATACCATCTAGATTTATATAGCAATATAAGTATGTTATGTTGTCAAAAGTGTAAGTATATCAAACATATATATAGAAGGATCGATGTATACATACCTGAATTCGGAGATAACTTTTCTCACAGTTAAGAGCTTGGAAAACAGTGGCAAGGTGAAAATCTACCATGTCACTACTGGCTTGGGTAAATACATCGACCAGTGGACAAGAACCTCCGCTGGTCAACCATGCCACAAGACCCCATTTAGCTACGTCATTGGCATGGTACTTCTCCTCACATTTTGCTGAACCAGTACCCAACGATACAACTAAGAACCGACCATAATCAGTTGGTCTCATGGAAAAGCTGAAGTCGGAATTTCCCTGGTGGACTTCCCTCGTCACTTCGCCTATAGCAACCAAAGCCTGATAAATGAACAAATATTATTAGATGAAGCCGTAGTTCTAGTTGGTAATTATATTGTCATGAATAGATATTTTTACATTAAATATAGGTGTTTTTTTTTAAAGGGAGACAACCGGTGGCAAGCCACACGGTCTTTACATTAAATTTATCCATATTCCCTAACCATGGCAACTATGTATTAATGTATACCGGGTTATTAGCAGCGACAGCACCATCAATGAGATCGAATTCTCTTGTTTCACCAGTGGAAGTTTTTGTTTCAAAATGATGTGCTGGAAGATAAGTTGGGGCTGCTGAAGTTGCAATGCATATGTCCGAGAGTAAAGCATCTATGCTACTGTTCTTCTTGGCCTAAAATCACCAACATATATACAAAATAAATATATGTAGAGATAGAGCAAACTTTTCAGAAAATTATTCCAAGCTAATAAAAAAAAGATCGTACCCAGTGCACAAGGCTCCAAGCTAATAGTATAAAAAAATTAACCAACCTCATAGCTGGAGAAGATGGTTGGTTGGAGCCGCTTTATATCAAAAGTTGGGATTACAACGTTAGTCAATGTGTCGTTCAATCGTTTGTCTCCTAATTTTTCCTTCACTATCTTATGTAGATACTTCCCATCATACTTTGGTCCTGTCATAGCTTTTACCATATCCACGGCCTTACCAAATAGTGGAGCGCTGTTGTACAAGAAAAAAAATATCTGATTGTTAGCCACTATATACATGTGAAATATATGAAAGAAAAGAAGCAGAGAGAGAAGATTTCAAGACTTGTATATATGTATTCATGATAAGCTTATAAGAACATGCAAGGTCCCTTTCAAACAGATTTCAAGTTAAGTTTGTAATTAAGTAGGTACCTGTCCTGGGGGAAGATTTTCGGGCAGTGTTCGAGATAGAAAGCGTTAATATCTTTAGCAGAGAACAAGGGACGATCATGTTCATCTGGAGTAGTAAGCATGGCAGTCACGAGGCCACCTGTGCTAGTCCCTGCAATCACATCAAAGTAATCTGCTAGCCTTGCACCTTCACCATCCAGCTTCTGCATATGACCAACAAATTAAAGTAATGATTAGTTAGAGTGTGCAAGCATATTATTCTGCATGAGATAAATTAAAGTGACGTTTAAAATTTTTTAATTTGAAGTTAAATTATGGGTTTGAATTGATATTTATACCTGAAGCTCAGACTCCAGGAAGCTGAGTATAGTTCCGGGGATAATCCCTCGGATACCACCTCCGTCAATGCTAAGAACAGTGACGAGGTTTCCATAAGTGGGAGACTGAAGAAATGATCTTGCTCTCTCCATTTGAGAAAAAAGAGAAGACATATTATGAATGATACTCGGTCAGGGAAGGGTACGTAGGAAGGAAACGGTAAGTAGGTACTATTTATGAACTGGAAGAAAAATGCAGATAGCAAACAATTTGAACCTTAAAGAATGGGGTGATGACAAGATAATTGAGTGTAGAAACCTTGAGTACCTATCTACGCCTTATATAGAGATCTTTTCCCCTCCAACTTTGACCCAAAACTTGTATATATCCAAAACAAGTTTTAGTTCGACCTATTCCAGACTTTTCAAATTAATTACTGCATTCTTGTGGACATATTTAGTTAATCAAGGCATCAATTGAATCTTCTAGGTAATTACACTTTCAAGAATAATAGTCCACTTTAAATCTTATTTAAATTATACAAGTAAGATATTAACAGTTAAATGAACAAGTCACTATGAACATGTTTTGGTGAATAAAGTTGGTGATTTCATGCACCTTAAGTACAGGCTCTGTTCTCGCATGTATGAATGGTAAAGAAAATTCAATCAAACAGATAATAGTCTTACAAGTGATACTATTTAAGCACACAAAATTGACATTATTGGTGTTTGATTCTTAATCTTCAACATGACAAACTTTCTTGATTTTATTTTCTCCTAATTGTTCTGAATTGTTTTTCGAGCAAACGCATATACATACAATCCTGAGCCGAGTCAATTACGAGAATTGGTCAGACTTCATGTGGCCTCTTAAACTGCAACAAATATTGTGGCAAAAAAGTCATCCCCAGATGACAAACTATAATTTTCAACACACATTACTCGACTTTTATGTCCGATTGATGTCCAATTCAACAGGACATAATTTCAGGGATAATATTAATTAGGGAGACTAAATTTAAACCAATCAAGGATTAAGTAACAAACCAATCATCAACAACCACATCACTTGATTTAAAAAATTGGTTTAAACATTTGGCAAAGTTAACTGATAAGTTAATTTTTCACTTAAGTTATATTGGAGCCAAATTTATGTATATCGGTCACGCGTGTTCTGCTAAAAAGAAGCATATATCTCCAAGTTACTGCAGGACGCATTCAATTAAGCTGGATAATTTTGTGGAAAAATTTATTTTCTGAACTGCAGTGTGACATATACACAGTATAAAAGAAAAGAACCAAACTATTTTCCTCTTCCTTGTTGACAGGAGCATTAGAATCATTCAATGATTATAGTATTGCTGAAGTATAAGGTTACTGACAGGACAACAAAATACTACATACGCCTTTAATCAAAGCACACGAAAAAAATCTTGACAATATAGAACTTGATTAAATTATGCAGCATTACTTTACCACCAAGTTGAAGTTATATGCAGACATAATTGAATGGTAGACCAATTTTTTATTTCTTACAAATGCTTTGGCCAATAGATCAATCACAGTAGCGACTTTTGGCCTTCGAATTGACCTTCTTAATTTGCTGTTAATGTACATTGCCGCCTTATACAAATCAAACTATATATAACGCATACAGTTTTGACAAGGAATCTTATCATCATGTGGCTTCATTGAACGCAGCTGCACAGAAGAACTTGATAACCTTAATAATAAGCTTAAAATATTAGCTGCATGCTTGATGGAGGCCTGCTTTAAGGGTAGGCAGTTCATGATCAAATCACGGGGTTTGAGTTTGGCCAAGCTTAGTGCATTTCTTATTAATCCTCCAAAATGGCTTCACATTATAACCAACCAGTCTTATGCTTGGAGTCTCACCTACCAGTCTGCATTATCTCACAGAGATTAGTAAACAATTTATGATTAGATACCAAATTTTCATGTTTATAATTAACCTGCCATGCAACTTGATGAGCTCTATCCAAGAAGCTACTCCAGAATATTTGAATCAAATGATAATCCACTGACACTGTACTTGGTTGGGTGCATGCATGCATATGAACCAGTAACTTGGTTGATATTCTTGGAAACTTAATGCAAGAAGAGTCTACAAGTACCGCTGTACTCACCAAAAAAGTCTAACTATATATTTGCTTAAAGCCTCTTCTAGCATCCAACTCTCTCTCTCTCTCTCTCTCTCTCTCTCTCTCTCTCTGAAAGTGTCATGGACAGAACCAAGAGTATACCATTACAGGCCCCAACTTACGGAAACTTGGTAACGATTCTCAGCATTGATGGGGGTGGAATAAGAGGACTTATCCCAGGAACCATTCTTGGTTACCTTGAATCTGAGCTTCAGTAGCCAGAATATTCTGTTGGTATTCAAAGTTTACTAACTCAATACCAAAATATGTGGGTGATAAGTGTTGGAAAATAGTTATTTATTTTATTGTTTGAATTTGGGCTTAACCCATTAGTATTAGGGTTTCTTTTTCTTACTTATTAGGGTTATGTTAGTTCTCTATTTATATGGTGTTTTGTAGCTCGTAGAACACAAGTTATTCACAATGTAGTCTCTTAGGGTTTTGTAGCCGTTCCGTCATTCTCGGTTGTTTAATAATATTTTTATTATTTTGTTAATCTCGTTCGTTGCGCACTCTGATATTCAACTTGGTATCAGAGCGGGTTCGATCCTTAGGGTTCAATCAGTTCTCGTTGGTATCAATTTGTTTGTATCAGTTTTGTTTCCGTCATCTTCCGCTGTTTGTGTTTTCGTTTTAGATTTGTTAGTTGTATTGATTGTTTGCAAGAAAAAAAAAAAGGAAAATAGAAAGGATCTTGCTGTTGCTGTTTGTTTGCACAGAAGAAAAAAAAAACAAGGAAAACCAAAAGGTTTTGCTGTTTGTTCACATGAAAGAAAAAAGAAAGAAAAATGGGAAGGAAGGAAAGGATAGAAAAAAAAGGCAAAAAGAGATGGAAAAAGAAAAACAATTGTTTGTTGTTAGTTTAAGTCCACGAGCAACAAGAAAAAAAATGGTTAAGTTTGTTTTTAGGTCCACATGAGTTGTTGGCCTATTTGGGATTGTTTTGTGACCATCATTCGAGTACTTGAAATTGTGACCACTCGAGTGATAGTATTTGTGTTTGTTTGTTTGTTGCTACAATTGAGATATGAAAATCTCGTCCGTTTAGTGACGGGTTCTTTCCATACTCTCAACATTAGCCAATTTAAACCAGAACCAATTTGCCAGCCAGAATCAAGTCAAGAATCAAGAATCAAGAACCAGTTTGACAGTCAAGTCAAGTCAAGTTCGCCAGTCAAGTCAAGTCAAGTCCAGTCAAGTCCAATCAAGTCAAGTTTGCAAGTTCGCCAGTTTGCCAGTTCAAGTTCAGTCAAGTCCAATCAAGTCAAGTCAAGTTTGAATGTCTGCCAGTCCGCCTAATGGAGCCAGTCCTCATCTGCTTGTTTGCAAACCCATGTCGTATACCGCCATGAGTTTGACGGGAGGTGTTGAAAAATAGTTATTTATTTTATTGTTTAAATTTAGGCTAGTATTAGGGTTTCGTTTTCTTACTTATTAGGGTTATGTTAGTTCTTTATTTATATGGTGTTTTGTAGCTTGTAGAACACAAGTTATTCACAATGTAGTCTCTTAGGGTTTTATAGCCGTTCCGGCATTCTCGGTTGTTTAATAATATTTCTGTTATTTTGTTAATCTCGTTTGTTGCGCACTCTGATATTCAACTATAAGTTTACAAACTCTATCACAACTCTCACTTTGCACTCTCAATAAAATTGGACAAAAAGAAAAAAGAAAGGAGGGAAGCAACAAGCTTTGGCAAACAATGCACTTTGATATATTTCAAAGAGTTTCCAAACTCAATTGCTGAAATGGAATGGGAATTGGAATGATATACTAAAGCCTAGCAAGAAGGCCTATTTATACAAACAGAAATTGATTAACAATACAACAACATGCAATGAATGATGGTGTTCACCATCTTTACACCCTTTCACACATGCACCAGCTACTAGCTAGACACTTTCACACACATGCTTTGCATCCTTCCAGCTTACAATCACCACCTTTGGCCATCAAATGGCAGCAAGCATGTTTGTAGTTGCTAGAAATGTGAATACAACCTGTAAAGCAACTAATAGCTAACAGTAACCATTTACAACCTGTTTTTATTTGAATTTCCAACACACCTCCTCAAATCAAAATGCCTTCATTCCTAGCATTTCACGTAGTAGCTGGAATGATTCAACTGGCAGGGGCTTTGTGAAGATGTCAGCCACTTGTTCCTTGGTGTGACAATAAACAAGTTCGATTGTCTTTTGCTTCACATGATCCCTCAGAAAATGGAACATGGTATCAATATGCTTGCTTCTTCCATGTTGGATTGGATTCCTAGCAAGCTTGATAGCTGAGATGTTATCCACATGATTCACAGTCGATTCCACTTGTGGATGACACATTGACTTCAACAGATTTCTTAACCAAATTGCCTTACACACATTTGAGGCTACAACAATGTATTCGGCTTCACACGATGACAAAGCAACAATTGATTGCTTCTTTGAAGTCCATGAGAAAGCTGTTGATCCTAGAAAAAACACATAGCTAGTTGTGCATTTCCTTTCATCTTGGTCACCTCCCCAATCACTATTTGAATAACCAAATAATTTTGCATCTTCACCAAAATTATAAAACAGACCATTGTTTAGAGTACCTCTTATGTACCTCAAAATTCTCTTGGCGGCCAACCAATGAGACTCCCTTGGTGTTTCCATGTACCGACTCACGAGTCCAACACCATAAACTATATCAGGTCTTGTGATTGTAAGGTTCCTTAGGCTTCCAACCAAGCTTTTGCACACGGTTGAGTTTACAAACTCACTTTCTCCTTCCTTGGACAGCTTCAATCCAGTTACAACTGGAGTGTTGACAATATTGCACTTGTCCATATTGAATTTCTCCAATATATCTCTCATGTACTTTTGTTGAGAGATGTAGATACCGTCACTTTCTTGCTTCGCCTCTATGCCAAGAAAGTATGACATTAATCCATTGTCAGTCATCTCGAATTCACTGAACATGGATTGCTTGAACTCACAGAACATTGCTTCATTGTTTCCTGTAAATAACAAGTCATCTACATAGAGACAAATAATTAAGAACTCCCATTTTTCACCGTTCTTCATGTAAACTGAATGCTTGTATGGACATTTCAAAAATCCATTTTGGTGAAGGTAGTTATCAATCCTTGAGTTCCAAGCTCGTGGTGCTTGCTTGAGGCCAC